GATTTTCTTATGGAACGTGGTTCTACAATTTCCTTGTATAATAAAATTGATGCAGAGACACATGGTCCTATTACTATTCGGGCTATAGCTGACTCAAAAAAACGCAGTGCGGAAGAAGCAGAAGATAAACCCTCTAAGCAGTTGCGTATTGATGGAATTGTTGATCCTACGGCGACAGGTGCAGTATCACCAGTAGTAACTCCTGCTGCATCATATGCGGCACAACCACCTTACTACCCACAAGGTCAATGGAGTGCGCAAGGATATGCAGGTTACCCTGCCGTAAGCGCCGCGTCCTCCGCTAATGCTCAGCAGGTAGATAATATCTTTTTTTTTTGTATTTGTTATCCATTTAGAAATGATAAATAATATAGCAAAATATTTTTCAGGCAAGTTACCAATATCCATATCAATATTCCCAATCGACCGCTAGTACTACCGCTACGTTAGAATATTAAGTATTAATTGTAATTATTCACGACCCGCATTATTCGTGGACTAGACTATAAACTTTTTTTTATTAAATACAAAATTGTTTTATATAGTTAAAATAAATCACGACCAGCATTATTAGTGGACTAGACTATCAACTTTTTTTTATGAAGTGCAAATTGTTTAATAAATTAAATCACACTATTTCGAAACATTAAACTTTTTTGATGATGATAATCACTCAACCAGCATGAATGAAATAAAAGATTGTTGTCATTTCAAGATCATTTGCCAACACTGGCTAGTTCTTTCCACCCAATCTATATTAATCTTGGGCATAAAAACATCCCTATTAAAAGGAGTGATCGATTCGAGGAGTAAAAAGATGCAAACATCTCGTAAATATAAATTTGGTTCATAACGTTTTTGTTTATGCTCGGAAAATATCATTATAAATATTGCTGAATCGTTATGTAAGTTCAATAATATTTATAATAATTACAAAAGAAAAACAATACATTTATAATAAATTATAAAAAAAACACCTATCTATTTAATGACATATATTCTTTTATTATTAATATATTTTAAATATCTCAAACAAATAATTTTATAATATATATATTTATGGTAAAGTAAAAATTGATACTTATACTATATCTATTTTTTTGCTAATTAGATTTAAACTTATATATCTTCATATAATTCAAATATTTTAACTTTTATAAAAGATATTGAAATTTAATATTTGTTTTACCTTATTTTTCTTAATTATTGATTTTAAAAGATAATTTTTAAAATAAGTATAAATATAAATTTTGATTTTTTTTAATGATTAAGAAAAATATAAATATATAAATAACTTTTTAATAATAAAATAACAAAAAAAAAAAAAATGGTAAATAGTAATGTTACAAACCAAACAGTTTAGTTCATATTATAGGCTAATCTAAAACTGAATTGAAAATTTCAATCCAGTTCAGTTCTGATTATTAATTTAAAAATGCTATTTCAAATCTGAATTGAATTATAAATTGAAAAAATTTGAACTGAACTGAAAATTTCAGATTAATCTGAAAGTTCAGTTTGATTATATTTGAATTTTAAAGAAAATTTGTAAGAATCTGCAATTCACTAGTCGAAATAGTCCAAATCAGCTAAAAATCAGATGGCTGATTTTAGGCTGATTTTGATACTATTTACAGCTGTTTTCCAATCGGTACAAACAGGTGCTGATAGATGCCGATCGACCTCAATCGGACATGGCTATTTAGAACTTAAATTCAACCATAATTCAGCTTAAAACTGGCCTCAATTCAATAACAATTCAGACGCTGATCGATGCTGATTGACTCCAATCGGACATAGCCATTCAGCATCAATTTAGAACTTAAATAACCATAAATCAATATAAAAAATTAGATGTAAATAGTATAGAACCTGCTAAACAACTTTTACTTAGAGATGA